TTAGACGAGTTTATAGACTGGACCACTCGTCTGCATTTTACAATGGTAAGGATGAGTGTGTTTGCTTCAGCATGGACTGTCACTCACGAGACAAAGTCAATGGCATTAAATTCCTTTCAGTTTTGCACTGATGTTCTTGTTGTTTCAGACACAAATCAGAAATGCAAAAATTTGTCATCTTCAATCGCACAGAACGTGATATAATATGTGATACTAAACTTATTTAGCAATTTAAGCGTTATGGTTGCTGGTCTAGCTGTTGACCTTGACCAGTCAGGACAATGATCTACGATTGAAAAAGTCAATTGACCGCGATGTCTACGCGCCGACGAGTTTTTTTTATCTCGGGCTTTTTGTTAAGCTTGTATGAAGTAATTACTAAATATTGTCCATACGTAATGTATGTCAGACATAATGAAATGTATAACATTTGAAAATTACTTAACTCGAGTGAGATAAACATCACTTATTGCGGAGCCTCTATATCCTGCTTGTTGGAAATTTGAACATTTAATATATCATGTTTTATTTTTGAAGTTCTAAGACGTTTTATCAAATATGTAATAGCATGTTTTATCATATATAAAAAAAATCAGTGGTGGTATAACCGAACTGAAAAGAATGCATCACTAACCATATGGGATGTATCTTACAAAAAGGATTAAGTGTTGTGAGTGTGCTGTGAGTAAGTGCTGGTACGGATTGCAACATGCAGGGGGGTTAAATATGGGAGGAAACTGCAGTACCCTAGCAGGTGCCTATAACTTTTCACGACCAATCAGAGACTCCAATATCGGCCGTCTTGGTGAAAAGTGAATGAACTACATTGTATCCACTGCGCCACACCACTACGTATACCCGAGAACAAAGGTCGACGCAAAATAGACACGAACAACCAAGAAATTAAATTACTAACAATCTTTGAGCATCATTGTGTTTGAATTTTTTCTAATACCCTTGGGGTTTTCGTTCGTCTAACATGAAAACGGCAGAAGCGGAATTAAAAAAAAAAGGTTCTGTTGTATTATCAACACACTGTAAGCATGTATCAGTATACCAATGCAGTGGGCTGACTTGAATTAATATCATACTTCAATTGTATAATCGTTTACAAACCTTTATACTTCATTGTAATAATTGAAAGTGAAGAAAAAAACTAACTTGATCGTCAACTGTACATAATTCATATTCAAAGATGAGAATTTATGCTGAATATTTTTAATATATCACAATTTCCAAAGCTAACTTCTGTCTGAAATGAAGTAAAATATAGTACATCAACAACAAACTGTTACCCAATCTGTACTCGGTGTCTATATAAAACATATAGTCAGTACCTACATGTAAGCAAACGCTAAACTCTAAGGCGATACCAAAGGGACACCACACATAGATGAGAGGAATACAAATCTCTGACCTATCTTGTATTTAGAATAGGGGGACAAACACAGGTTGGCATAATTACATGAATTTTGATTCCGGAAACTACATTTGATTGAATAAATAACATCAATCAAATAAATTGATTTTGTACATGGTTTTGCGTCACATTGTTGAAGTGCGGCTTTCTCGCTGTCGCCGGTAGTCTAGAGGTAGAACGCCGGGTTTGTGACCGAAGGGTTGCGGGGTCAAGTCACGGCACGGCACTGTGTTATATCTTTGAACAAGATGCTTTACTGCGCTTGTTCCATGTTACTCAGCTGTAAATGAGTACGTGGTTGGACAGTGCTCGAATTGTTGAAATGCTAGCTGTTAGCGCCGAAATGGCAGCACCGACTGTATGCTCACCAGGGAGTTGAGAAAGATATTGGCTGGTTGCAAAGGCCCTATAACCACGGATAATAATGAACCGCTTCGAGACGACCTATGGACTAGGTCGTGATAAAGCGGTATATAAGAACCTCGACTTATATTATAATAATCGAAATATCCATTATCGCTTCTCGCTTGGTCATATTTTTTTACTTATACGTTTAATTTAGGAGTCGATGCTAACAGGCCCGTCCTGATGTTTTCCAAATCCTCCATATTCCTTGCCATAAGTACAATCACAGATGAGGAAGAAACATGCACCAAACTTTAGAACTATACATCTGCATAGTCCTCCACTAGCGCCAGCTATAACTACAAAGCACATCCTAATGAAGATGTTCTCTTGTGTCTCCATCAGGTTGCTATTTCTTGTCTAATTTATGTAAACAAGATTGATAAAGATACAGAGTTCATCACCCCGTCTACTGCCGCAGTATCTAAATTATCTATCATGTGAACATATTGATTTATTCTCTGGTCAATAGGTCGAAGGGTAATTATCAATGCAATTTGAACCCAGGAGAAACACTGGGTTAATTTCATGGTCTATCAGATGAGGCAGGGTGGTCGGATGGCGCTGTGGAAAACGCACTTGCCTTTCAACAGGGAACAGGACCAAGGTCGCCCTAGGCCGTTAAGCTGATACGGATCCGTATCAGCTTCAGGTAGAAATCCACCATGCTGTATCAGCTTCACTGGCCTTATGACCTAAAACTGTTAACGGTATCTTTTTATTTGTTCTGAGGGGGTCTTTCACACCAGAATTTGACACTCATTAAATAACAAGGCTGCCCAAAGTCCACCAATGACCATATTGTCAGTTGCACGGTGGCATGTACCTCAGGGGGCTGTAATTAGCGGGGGAGGGGGTCTGTGGCCGAGTCCACAGGTGTCCGGTAAGCGTGATCACTCGAGCATAAAACTATTACCACTGGGTCCTCTAACATGAGAAACATTTGAGAAAACAACTTTAAGACTTGAAAAACAAACACTTGATGAGGCCATTATGAATTAATTTACTCACATATGATTGTATTTGACAACGCTGAAACAGCGTGTGTATAGTACACAACGGAAAGCGGAGAGGAAATCCTGATTTGTTATTTTTATAGGAAGAAAGGCCCCAATCAAAAAAGTTGTTTCAACCTTTTATCAATATTGACATTATTTTATAAAGTTTTAGAAGAAATTTTAACACGGTAATTTTTAGTTAAACATTTTCTCTTACCATAATTTTAAATGTGAGATGACATTAATTTTCCCTTTTGAACGTCCGTTAAAAATGAAACATATCAGCTTAACGAAATTCTAGGGACAACCCTGCGTGGGTTTTCATCGGGTATTTCGATTTCCTGAATAATCAAAGACCCCCAGCGCACTTCTATTAGGACCAACAAGGGTGATCTAGTGTCGGTATCTTCTCAGTTCATGCTGTCTGGGTCTGCCGGTTTCTACTGTCAGTTGACGTCGGTGTCTGTCTCGTTTCTCTTGTCATTTAGAGCTGCTGGTGACTCCTCGGTTACTGGTATTTATTTGCATCGTCGTTTCTACTGTTTATCTTGGCGTTTAGATTCAGTAACTCCTCGGTTGCTGATGTCGGCTGGCGTCGGTGTTTCTTTAGTTCCTCTTGACGTCTAGAGTCGGTAGCTCGGTTGCTGTTGCCTGCTTGCGTCGGTGATTCTCCAGTTCCTCTTGTCGTCTAGAGGCGGTAGCTCGGTTGCTGTTGTCTGCTGGCGTCGGTGTTTCTCCAGTTCCTCTTGTCGTCCGGAGTCGGTAGCTCGGTTGATGTTGTCTGCTGGCGTCGGTGTTTCTCCAGTTCCTCTTGTCGTCTGGAGTCGGTAGCTCGGTTGCTGTTGTCTGCTGGCGTCGGTGTTTCTCCAGTTCCTCTTGTCGTCTAGAGTCGGTAGCTCGGTTGCTGTTGTCTGCTGGAGTCGGTGTTTCTCCAGATCTTATTGTCGTCTAAAATCGGTAGCTCGGTTGCTGTTGTCCGCTGGCATCGGTGTTTCTTCAGTTTCTCTTGTCGTCTAGAGTCGGTAGCTCAGTATCTGTTGTATGGTTATGTTAATTACCTCTCATTTTCTTGTTTCTGCTGATTGCTTTCCTGTTTTTGTCTCTTTCTTCACGCTATATATTATCTGTTGGTTTCGGAATATGCAGATGGAATTTTAAGAAATAAGCAAGTAAATAATACATGTTTGAATATTCCGATAATTATTTATAGTATTACAATTTTTTAAGTAGATTAAGCATTGTTCGGTGTTTTTGAAATAAAAAATACTTCAGATAATGTCATGTTTGATCCACAAAATTCTAACCCTAATATTATGATGAAAAAAATAAAATCATACTCTTTTTTCTTGTTGATTATTATTTTATTAATTCTGTTTATTGGAACAATATCTCTGCAAACACCATTGAAATATTTGGGTTCATAGAAAGTGTACAACAAACAGTGTTATTTAAACCTCGCTGTTATTGCTTACATGGTTGAAGTAATGTTACAAATGTATGATGAAGCGTTGTTAATTTCGGCATACTTTATTAATAACTACACCTAATATGTACAATAACCTGTGTGTGCTAGGTTCATCTTTTTATAATCTGGAATCGTCATCATAAGATTTACAGATATATTGTTTATAATTTAATCTTGCTTGTAACAAACCTTTTCATTGGCCTAAACATTTGTGTTTTCATCCCATAACATAAAAAATGACGTCGCCGTTTGTAACGTCGCTTTTGATTGGCTGATACAGCGGCGTAATAATTTCTAACAGAAAAGAGTCCATCAATAAAAGTTGATTTCCACAGGGATTGTGTATAGTAGATTAAATTATAAGGATTAACTTGAATATATTTTTTATGTTATGGAGCTATAACACAAAAAAACGGAGTGTAGTCTCATTTAGAGTACACTCCGTTTTTTTTGTGTTAAATCTCCATAACATAAAAAATATATTCAAGTTAAACCTTAAATAGTGATATTCAACTTTTCTTTTACAAATCATATACATTTTTTAATAAATATTCAAAGCAAAAGCATGAATACATCAAACGATTACACAATTCCGTCTTTTCGTATTGCAGAGTTATCTTCTCTTGTGAGCAGGTATTGATTGTAACGTCATTGGTTTGTGAGAGTAACGTCATCAATTTTTGAGAAAACGACGTAATTTTCTCACACAAACCAAAGACGTAACAATCAATACCTGTTCACAAGAGAAGATAACTCTGCAATACGCAAAGACGGAATATTAATCCTTTTATAAAAAGCAGCAAGCCAATACTGATGTTCAGTCTAAGAAGAACTGTAACTGCGTAATAACTTCATATGGAACAGATCTCCGAATATTTATTGGAAATTGAATGACATTATGACGGTTATGCAGTATTTTCAAATAGACAATTTTCAGTTGACACTATACGCAGAATCAAAATATTTTGTCACTTTCTACGTATACAGCATTTTCAAATCTGTTTTCCTCCAGTATCTGGACAAGCTTAGAGATTGGGACATCTGGGAGAGTCGTCGTACCGTCAATCCTAAACTCTGAAGAGACAAAATCAGATAAAACAATGTTAATCTTATTTGTAACTATAGGTTGCATATCATGTCTTACCCACTATCAGTTCATATAGGCTACACAGAATGGCTTAATGGCTAAGATATAAAACATCTCGTATTCAGCGTACTGATAATAAGTTAAACACCCAAATTTAGCTTTTATAAAAAAAAAAATAGTTTGCTTTCTTACTTTCAAGACGGATCTAAATAAACTTTTCCAGCTGCCGTAACCAAATTGCCTTATTTTACGTTAAATCATTTCTACACGAGCAGTTAAGAAAACATACAAGAAACGACAGGGAAATGTCAATTCAATCCTCAATATAGATACTCAAGCAACATATACTCCAGAGACAGGATAGAGTTTAGAATAGAAAGTGAGTCATACAAAACACAGAGAAAGGTGAAAATAAACACCGATTTCTGATAACAACATACATTTTAATGTTTCAAAGGCATAAACATTGATTATACCCTGTCATAGTGTGTATTAACGATCTTATCTCTAAGGAATTACTCTTAAATAGCTACATGTATATGATATAACCACAAAACGTTTGCGTACAAAACCTATAATACCTGCACAAAGTTTCAGCTTTCACCTCCTTACACTAGTTGAACTCTCTTATTCTATCCTGCAGTTGATTTTGTAAGATAGGTTCCCCGATACTAGGTTCCGGCCCTTAATGATCAGAGTTGACCGATAAACCGATAAACTCATACAGACAGCCAAACAAACTAGCACACTTACGTTTCAGCATTTCAACCATAGACTTGAGAGGACACATGTTTTCTAGTCCTCTCATCATGTCTGTGTCTGAGGCACCTGGGGCGAACGTCAGTATCCTCAGAGAGGGCTCCTCTACGGCCAGTACACGCATATACATGTCACGGGCAGCCTTACCTATAAGAGGAATGTAGACAATAGCGATCAATATAACAAGTGTATACTACACAACGTCATAAAATATTAATACATGTAATGAACGTCAACAAGAACTACAAAAAATCCACACAAATAAGGTCCACCACACTCTAGGGACGTAACATTTCTTTTCGGATATCGTCGATGAAAAGGGCGACGCTTACCTCTCTAAATACCTGATGGTACTCTTCTTTTACTTTTTCCAATCTCTCTAAATATATCTTTAATTGGTTTGTAATTATCAATACTCACATGGTTTGAGTTGGAATTATGATTTTGCTTATAAACAAAATAACGATCACCAAAGTAAAACAAAATATTACACAACATAGCACATTAATTGAATAGCTATAAAGCAAAGATTGTAGATAAAAAGCACAGTATAAATTTCCACAGAATCGATAGCACCAGAACAAATAATGAACAGTGAAAACATTCACATGGAGACTGATGAAAAAAAGACCATGTGTTCTGAAGACTAGTCGTCTTCTGCCATGCAGACACCTACTATTTTATTCAAATTAAAATGGTGTCATGTCCGCACTAAAAGAAATCTGGTAGTGACAACGAAACAGCAAGGAACACTAAATCAAAAAGAAAATCATCGACCGTACACCATACAAGTATAAATTTCCTTTAGAGAAAATGATAACGACCAGAAAACAAGCCTTACCAGTTAAATATAAAAAAAATAGTATTTGGTTGGAAAATAACGTTCTAGTTTTTCGATTGAATTTAAATGTAACATGTTGCGTTAAGATCGATCTGAATTGACTAGAACTGTCCACGGACAAATATAAGATCCCAAGGAGTCGGGATTGAGGTAGGATAGTCTATTGCTCAATATTAGGGCAAAAGTAGCGACAAATTGGAAGATAAATATGTATTCCATGGCATTTGTGACGTCATAATTGACACACTGTTATATGATTACATAACTGATAGGTTGAAGCTAAAAAAAAAAAAGTCATACCGATATATATATTTAACAGGCTATGGTAATTTTTATCTCATTTTCTGACTTTAGATATACATTAAATTTAACGTTTGTGTTCATACGAGAATACTTCACCTGCACAGTAAAGCTGAAGTGGCGGCACAGGAGTTGAGGTACCTGCTGACGTCATATTTACGACGACACGAGATTTTGTGGAATCGGAGAAAGTCTGAAAGAAACTCGTGTTAAGTAGGATCATCCCGGTTAGGTTGATGTCGAAGTACCTCCGGACAAACGTGGAGTCTGAAAGATCCAACGATGTTTTTGTTACATCACCGATAGTAGCACAATTGTGTACGATCATATACTGTTCAAAGTCAGCTTGCGAAAAGTTGTTTTCTGCTATGATTTCATTGAATATATCTTTGAAATAATCCTTATTTTCCGAATGTCCCTGGTCATATTGTCGTACCAATACGCTGATATTCGGAGCCAACGACAACACTTCCGACTTGACACTTTCTAGAGCCTCCACATTCCTTGCCATAAGTACTAGAACCGAAGTAGCTGGAAACTTGGCACCAAACTGTAGTGCCATACATCTCCCCAGTCCTCTACTGGCGCCGGTAATGACTACAAAGGTTTTCTTAAGGAAGAGGTTTCCCGGCTTTTCCATCTTGTTTCTCACATACACTCTCTGACTAATAACAGTGCTCCTATCGCCCCTCCAGACTCGCGGTATCTAATTTATGTAATGAGTTCTTTTATCTCTTCAATGGTAAATAAAAAGTCAACTCTGAACCTTGTCCTTGCTACGTTCTTACATGTACTTTAGATTAGGTCGTTCAATTCAGATTAAATACGCATATTATTATATATATGCATTGATAGTTTAATTTGATCTGCGACAATAACTATTCATTTAAAAATGTAAAAATATAAAACAATTTGACACGTGCTTCCAGTCTACCTTTGGTCATAATGTCGAATAACCGCACAGTAACAGTAACTCCTAAAAGGGGGATCCTATCCTCCCCAAGCACAAGAAGTTGAAAATCAAAATTGTCCTAACTACTGTTGAGAACGGAAGGTAGGTTTGGAGAACTCCTTATTTATAAACTGTGTTATTGCTAACCATACAGTGATACAATGTACATGAGTACAAATTGTTTTTGCCGGATAGCTGTGACCTTGCATATATACCGTGTTTGTTACATACATCTAGGTAGTATGTTGGGTTGTCGGATCATGTTTATACGTTCATAAAGTTTATTATTTGAATTCCTTTTATTATCAGGCGGATTTCGAAACACTAAATGACTCTCAACGTACTAAAATCGATTTAAATGATTAAAAACAAATTAAATGAGCTATAGATTAAGATATGAAAATGTTGTATACCAAAGTTTTAAGAATATTTGACAGTTTCATTTATATCATATTCATTTCATCAATCCCCTCCCCTTTTTGCAGATGTTCATGTTATTGTAAAACTGGTTTTCTCACTTGGATTACCATTTTCAGATTTTCGTAAGTAATGAGTTCGATAGATTTATATCGCAATTTGATTTTTAACCAGTCATATGTGTTAGTACTGTAATGACTGAACTTGAATTTGAACTCAATGATGCTAAAGGCTTCTCTACACCAGCCGCCTACCTTGCTCTCCACTTACAACATGACCCAAGAGACGCGGAGACATAACGAAACGTTATGCATAATATTCCAGACGTGAAAATGCTATCATTACTTCATTGAATCCGTCTCAACAATTGTATTTTGTTTTGTTTTGTTTTCCTGGTTTTTTATGTCGTTATAGTGGAGCAGGTTTTCAGACTCGGATATTACAAAAATACCACTTCCATGGTATAGTCAATTATGCTTACAACTTTGTTTAACCTTAATATATATCAGTCTTTTTTTTTCTTCAACTGACAAACTCATAAACGAAAAAAATCCTCCATTACTGTTACGTGTTGGTGTATGTAACTCCTCGATTTCTGTTACATGTTGGTGTATGTAAATCCTCCATTATTGTTACGTGTTGGTGTATTTAACTTCTCGATTACTGTTACGTGTAAGTGTATGTAACTCCTCGGTTACTGTTACATGTTGGTGTATGTACCTCCTCGGATACTGTTTCGTGTTGGTGTATGTAGCTCCTCGGATACTGTTACGTGGTGGTGAACGTAACTCCTCGGATACTGTTACGGGTTGGTGTATGTAACTCTGTATGTAACTCCTCGGATACAGTTACGTGTCGGTGTATGTAACTCCTCGAATACTGCTAAGTGTTGGTGTATGTAACCCCTCGATTACGGTTTCGTGTTGGTGTATGTTACTCCTCGGATACTGTTACGTGTTGGTGTATGTAACTCCTCGGATACTGTTACGTGTTGGTGAACGTAACTCCTCGGATACTGTTACGTGTTGGTGTTTGTAACTCCTCGATTACTGTTACATGTTGGTGTATGTAACCCCTCGATTACAGTTTCGTGTTGGTGTATATAACCCCTCGATTACAGTTACGTGTTGGTTAATGTAACTCCTCGGATACTGTTACGTGTTGGTGTATGTAACTCCTCGGATACTGTTACGTGTTGGTGTATGTAATTCCTCGATTACTGCTACGTGTTGGTGTATGTAACCCCTCGATTACAGTTACGTATTGGTGTATGTAACTCCTCGATTACAGTTACGTGTTGGTGAATGTAACTCCTCGGATACTGTTACGTGTTGGTGTATGTAACCCCTCGATTACAGTAACGTGTTGGTGTATGTAACCCTTCGATTACATTTACGTGTTGGTGTATGTAACTCCTCGGATACTGTTACGTGTCGGTGTATATAACACCTTGGATACTGTTACGTGTTGGTGTATGTAGCTCCTCGATTACTGTTACGTGTTTGTGTATGTAACTCCTCGATTACTGTTACGTGTTGGTGTATGTAACCCTTCGATTACAGTTACGTGTTGGTGTATGGAACTCCTCCATTACGCATACGTGTTGGTGTATGTAACTCATCGGATATTGTTCCGTGTTGGTGTATGTAACTCCTCGATTACTGTTACGTTTTGGTGTATGTAACCCCTCGATTACAGGAACGTGTTGGTGTATGTAACCCTTCGATTACATTTACGTTTTGGTGTATGTAACTCCTCGGATACTGTTACGGGTTGGTGTATGTAACTCTGCGATTACTGTTACGTGTTGTTGTATGTAACTCCTCGATTACTGTTACGTATTGGTGTATGTAACTCCTCGATTACTGTTACGTATTGGTGTATGTAACTCCTCGATTACTGTTACGTGCTGGTGCATATAACTCCTCTCGATTACAGTAACGTGTTGGTGTATGTAACCCTTCGATTACATTTACGTTTTGGTGTATGTAACTCCTCGGATACTGTTACGTGTTGGTGTATGTAACTCTGCGATTACTGTTACGTGTTGGTGTATGTAACTCCTCGATAACTGTTACGTGTTGGTGTATGTAACTCCTCCATTACGCATACGTGTTGGTGTATGTAACTCATCGGATATTGTTACGTGTTGGTGTATGTAACTCCTCGATTACAGTTACGTGTTGGTGTATGTAACTCCTCCATTACGCATACGTGTTGGTGTATGTAACTCCTCGGATACTGTTACGTGTCGGTGTATATAACACCTCGGATACTGTTACGTGTTGGTGTATGTAACTCCTCCATTACTCATACGTGTTGGTGTATGTAACTCCTCGGATATTGTTACGTGTTGGTGTATGTAACTTCTCGATTACAGTTACGTGTTGGTGTATGTAACTCCTCCAGTACTCA